TACTTGCTTGACTGGACCGGACTGGGTGGACTGGGACTGCTGACTGTACGAGGTGGACTGCCTCCACTTGACCACTTGCCTCTGTCTAACGTAGGATGACTCCGAAAGGCCACTTCTAGAAACCTCTGTCTTGGCCTTTCGGTACTGTAGCAGCTACGACTTTGCCCTTTCAGGTAAGTAGCAGCTACGACCTTGACCCTTCAGACAGTCTACAACTACGACCTCTGGACTGTCTAGACTCCTACCCTACAGGTCTACAGTTCGAATCCCTTCTACCCTGTGGCCTACGAAATCCTACCTACCACTGGCGGTCCTACAGGTCGCAGGTTCAATTCTACGGGTTGACACAGATACTGTACACAGGTAAGGTGGGGATCTAGGGATCGAGCCCTGGGATCTGCATCGGCTACTGCAAACCGGTGAATACTGTTTCACTCCCGCCGGCCTAAATTCGAGGTCCTCCAAGAAAATTTCAGTCCAAGGCAGGACCTTTACCTTTCCTATCTCTTTCGTAGGCGTGGACTATGTCGGGAGCCGTCTCTAGAAGTTCAGTTCTAGTGAACCACCGGTCATCTTCTGGTTCTTGATATGAAAATCTGACTTTGTACTGTTTCTGAGGACGACCTCTACCTCCTGTTCTGAAGACATCTTCACCTACAATGCCGTCAATGTCGTATCTCCCGTCCATGTCAGGTGGGATCATAGCTCGCTTAGATGGGAACTGATCACTTACTGTGCACGGCAGTAACTTTGACGCATGGAAAACTGGGTAGGTGTGGAGGTGTAGGGGCAATTCAATGGTGTAGGATGGACCATCTTCGCCACCCTTGACTTCTAAGACTGGCCACGGTCCTCTATAGGTGGGCAGTAACTTTTGCGAGATGTTCTCCTCAGGTGCAAACTCTTTAGAACTGACCCAGACTAAGTCATCTACTTGGAACTGTGAGGGGCGACGATGTTTGTTGGCTTGTTCGATCATCCTGAGCTGGGCCTTCCTGAGGTTCTCTACAACAGTAGCTAGTTCTTTCTCGTGCTGTACAGCAAACTCCCTTGTCCCGGGCGGTAATCTGTGAATCTGATCCCGGTTGAGTCCCTCAAACGGTCTGCGCGGTTTAAAGGACTTGTGCAGTTCGTTGGGAGTGCGGCAGGTGGACAGATGCACGCCATTGTTATACGCACTAGCTACTTTAGGTAACATCTCATCCCAGTTAATCTGATCTGGTCTAATATACATCCGCTGAACTTGCTGCAGGATCTTGTTCATCTGCTCTGTCTGACCGTTAGTCTCAGGATGGCGGCCAGACGACATTAACAACTTAGATCCATACACTCCCATGAGTTCTTGCCAGTTCTGGCTGGTGAAGCGATTATCTCTATCGCTAACTATTGACAGTGGGATTCCATTCTCACTAACCCAGCAGTCAAAAAACTTCTGTATCACTAAATCTGTACGTGCTTCTGACGGCAAGGAACAAAAACTGCATATTTGCTAAAACGGTAAACTACGACCATGACTTGGCTCTTGCCATGCCTACTCTTGACTTGGGTGTCCATGAAGTCAATGGACACTGAGTCTGCCGGTTGATCCGGAATGGGCAAGGGTCTGAGAAGACCTAACAGGGCGCGCGTAGAAGTCTTGTTTCGCTGTCAGATTTTACAACTGCGAACATACTCTATGCAGTCATTCTTCATCCCTGGCCAGGTATAGGCGCGCATCAGATTGGCTAARGTCTTTTGCCAACCAAAATGACCCTCTGTGTCGTGGCATTCTCCCAAAATCAGACTACAGATCTCTTCACTATTGGGAATGCACAGGCGGTCAAACACACGAGTCTTCTCAAAGAGCAACCCTTCCGTAGTGGGGTAGTTCGGCTCAGTCGCTGGGGCCTCCTGGACCCTCTTGAGGAGGTCACTATAGATAGGGTCCAGCGCATAGGCTTCTCTAATCTTTTGCTGCAGGTCCTTCCCTATGTGTAGGTAATGCACTATTGCCCCAAAGTAATCAGCTCTCCTACTTAGAGCATCCGCAACTACGTTATACTTTCCCTTGACTGGCTTGAGCTCAAAGTCATACTGATCCATCTTTGCGGCCCACCTAGTAAGCTTAGGTGTCATCTTGGCCTGCGTCTTTAACCATCTCAACGTCTCATGATCGGAATAGACTTTGAAGTGTCTCCCAAGCAAGTAGTGCTTCCAGTGTTCTAAGGCTTGCCTGAGAGCGTAGAGTTCCCTTTCATAGGTAGATGTCACGACCTTCTCTGAAGGCATTCTGGCGGACATGAACTCTACGAGCCTATAACCATGGCCATCGTCTTGCTGCAACACAACACCTATGTCGTACTGACTAGCGTCCGTAGTGACGACAAAGGGCAAGGACGGATCGGCTACCTTAAGGACTGGATATTCTATCAACGCCTGTTTCAATTTCTTCATAGCAGACGTGCAGTCCTTATCCCACTTCCAGATGGTCTCCTTCCTAAGCAATCTGCGAAGGGGCGCAGCGATGGTGGAGAAGTTCCTCACGAACTTCCTATAGTAGTTGGCTAGGCCTAGAAACGATCGTAACTCTGTCAACGTACGCGGCGTCGGCCAATCTCTAATTGCTCCGATACCAGTGCAATCAGACTCGACTTATTCACACTTTTCATGCACGTGGACAACAGAACGACAAATTGGCGACATGCGCCCACACAGAACTCAGAGATATGGCTTCCAGATAACAGTTCGATTCCACTGGCTATGGCGACTGTGCGCCTCAAACAACTCACTGTTCACACTTCTGGATCACCCTGGATGTCCCACACACATCACTCTGAACACCCA